AGGGGGTCGGACTCGATGATCTATTGAGGTCCCTTCCGACCCTAACGTCTATGAATCTATGAATCTATAAAGAGCATTAATCTAATACCTCATCCCTCAAGCATTAATTAGGAGTGTAATTAATCATTTTTAAAGTGCTCCAAGAGCCATGAACTTCTGCTCAGTTATGGCTTTACAGCACTTTCTGCCTGCTTAAGTGGGATAGGTTTAACGTTCGTAGTTAGCCTTAAAAACCACATAGCATTATCATGCTCCTTGAATGAGAAGGGACCAGCACATCATGAAAGTTTTATGAATTAATATGCATTTTACTTTCTTTTATCTTAATAATAGTCTTCATTTTCTGTGACTTTCAAAACATGGTTGAAGAACTCAACAAAATGGTTTTTACAGTATGTCAAAGGGATGGCAACATTTCAGAGCAAACGTCATGTATCTAAATGAAGATTTACACATGATGAGCCCAGCTAGAGATGTATTGTGTAGAATAAGTCCTAGGGGTACAGCACGAATCTGAGAAACCTAGCTTTTGGGTTTTTTTTTTTAAACACAGGATTTTTCAGAACTTTAAAAATATTTGTCTACTTACTAGTTGCCTCCAGTTATAGAAAGCTTGAGCTGCTACCAGTTACAGATCTGGAAACAGATTTTTTCTTAAACAATCTAGACAACAGAGAAGAGGGAAGAATAAAATATGCCAACAGAATATTGGTTTTCTTTTCCCAACCTACTACATTTCTATCCCACAAACCATTGTAAAGTAATGCTACTTAACCTTGTTAGACTCCAGGCGCCCCTCATTAGAGTCAAGGGATCCCTTGGAAAATCCCAGTTTTTAGAACTTTTTCTCATTTCTTGAATAAGGAGAAATAATACAGCTATTTTTCTGTTGCAAAGAACTCAGACCACAACAAGTCAGAATGGTTTTTGATACTATTGATTCCTATCTGAAATCTCTGGGTTTATCTTATAAAATGTTTGTAGATGTTTCTACTCCCAAAATTGCAAATACTGCATGACTCCCTTAAAATGATCTCATAGAACCCTAGTTAAGGACAACTGATCTAGAGTACAGTCTAGCTTTACAGTAGACTAGATTAACAGGCTCCCAAGCAAAAGGAAAATCTATAGAAGAGGACTTTGATGAACATGATCACCCAAACTGAGCAAAGTTGTAGGAAGTATCCTTCACTCATCTCCCTAACTAACCCCACAGACCCCGGGGAGCTACAGTGGTCAGGTGTGTACCTCTTCTGTACCTCCATTTTCTCACCATCTATCTTTCCACCTCCTAGCTACTTGACTGCTTTGGAGCTTTCCATAAGGTCCAGAGATAAAGGCAGGCTCTGAAGGCAGGTGGCCACTTTTTCTGCATGGGCAGGTCAGGATCTACATAAAGAAGCCTCTTCCAGCACAAAGGAAGCTAGGTCCATAGATTAGATTCCATTACTTTAAAAAGCATTATTTCTGAAATAGCTAAATATGCTGGTGACTACCCAAAATTGTGACAATAAAGACAACCAGAGTGAATTTAACAGTTTGAATCTACAGGCTTCTGACTCAGGCATCCCATGCATGAAAGTGTTAGAAGATAATAATTGGGACCCAAGAATAAAGATTAGGTTTACACTCCTCACTAAAACATGGCACAACAGAAGATACAGAAGGAGCATGAGGAACTTTTAAATGTATTGTCCCTTATCCTTTCCCAGAATCTAGCTCATGAATAATGGTATTTCAAAGATTGACAAATTCAACTATAACAGGCTCTTTTTTAGGAGAATGAAGTACTTCTCTTCAGAACATGTCATGCTTCCATTTAGCTAGAAAGATGACTCCTAAGCAATTGGGAAGTCCCTCCTCTTGAAAAAGCTAACCCACTTTATCTCCATATCCCAAAAGGGGAGAGAACACCAAGATCAAGAATTACAAATTACAAATACCTGATCTTGATTATAAGTGGAACACAAGACAACAGTGTGCTCTTATTGGAAAAAAGCCAACAGCATAGAGAGTAATTTTAATAGGAATGTGATTCTTCTGCTCTCTTCAGTACTAGTGAGACCTCACCTGGAGTACAGTGTCTGGTTTGGGCCCTACACTTCATACACCATGTGAACAGTTTAGAAAGAGTTCTTTGCAGATCAACAAAATAATTGGAGGCTTATAAAGTAAGACTTATGAGGAAAGGCTGAAAGAACTAGGGTTATTTATTTTAGAAAACAGAAGAGTGAGAGGGGATTTGATAACAGTTTTCAAATGCCTGAAGGGCAATTATAGAGAGGCTAGAGATAGGCATTTATTTATAGTCACGGGGGATAGGACTAGGAGCAATGGCCTCAAGCTGCAGCAGGAGAAATTTAGATTGGAGATTAGGAGGAACTTTCTGATTATGAGGGTGGTCAAGAATTGGAATAGGCTACCTAGAGATATTGTGCGATTTCCATCCTGGGCAATTTAAGAGCAGGTGGGATGGACACTTGGCCGGGATGGTTTAATAGGGAATGATCCTGCCTTGGACAGGGGCTGGACTAGATTAACTTGTGAGGTCACTTCCAGTTCTACTTTCATATGAAATCATGATTTCTTGCATGTCATTACATATTTCCACTATTTCCAATCACAAGTCCACAAAACTTCCTTCTAACTTTACACTTTCAGAAATAATTCCATTGTATGAAAACACTGATCTATTGTAGCAACAAATTCATTTCACTCTGTTCTTGAATATATGCTTTCCATGCTGTACTAGGGCCCATCCATATAGATTTAGGGGAAAACAGAAATCTAAAGACCTAGATAACTTTATAGCAGAGGTATAAGAACTGAGAAAATGACAGGATTTCTTATTTAATAAAATCCTGTAGAACTTTAGAGTAGGATTGCTGGTCATATTTATCCATTTATCTATTCCATTTTATTGACACATTTATGACTGATAAATGTGTGTAAAACCCATTAACAGAAGTTATATATGTGGGTCTGTTGGGTAAGCAGTTGAAGTTGACTACTTAATTTTCATCAGTACAGTTAAAAATTACAAGGAAGTCAGACTTGTAAAAAACCTCCTGATAAACACATTATTGTGTGTTTTATCTGGAAGGCAACTAACTAAAGTATCCAATAGAGCTGGAATCCATTTTTTCCAATGTAAGTTTTCTGTTCTTAAAAAAAAAGAGCCTGATCATTTCCCCACCTCCAACCTCCCCCAGAGCCTGCCTGCCTGAGCTGCGCAGGCCCAGTGCTTCCCTCTGTGGCTGTGGCACCCCCTGGGACTGCCTGAACCAGGTGCCTGCAAGTGGGTGCCGCCTGGCGTGGGGGCCACTGCTGCTGTGGAGGGAAGCATTGGCCCCACTGTCGCCCAGGGACCGCTCTACCCACCGGCAGCCCGCCCTCCCCACCCCGCCACCAGAGAGGCAGGTAAGTGCACGGGTGTGTGCACAACATGGCAGTTTACTTGGCCCTAAATTGAAGCGGTGTTTTTAAAAACTCACTGCTTCAATTTAGGGCTCCTGTTTCATCTACACATGCCGTTACTGATGAAATTCCAAGGGGCTGTCACTCGCTCCACCAGAGTGAGAATGGCCTTTTCTTCTGGCTTAGGGTTTATATAACCTTGCTCCTCCTCAGCAGGCCATTACCTAATTAGCTGCCTGCTACTTATTATGTGGAACTATCAAGACTTCCAACTCTGTTGTCCTAGCTCCATTCTCAGTACCAGGGCTTGGCCCTATTACACTGGGAACCACTGAGATGTACTTTATTGCCTTGTTCAATAACTAATAAACTTTGTAACATTGCAATTTAGTTATTTTATTATATAAAATGCATGTGGGCTGGTCTAAGGTGTCTAATTCTATACATTAATGTTTCCACATGATGTTATTAGTAATTTGAATTAAGGTCTAATCTCACACAATTAAAAAAATGTATTTCTCTTTTTATAAGAAACCTTTTTGCAAGATTGCCTTAAAATTCATCTAATCTCTTACAGTACTTCCTGTTGCTAAATTAAACTACAGAGCCAAATTTTTGAAGGTATAAATCAGTGCAACTTGACTGTTTACACCTGCAAGGAAGTTGGTCTAATATTTTCCTGGATTACGGTGGATGATACAAAGAATATCTTAAAAGACCATTTTGCAGGGGGGGAGGAGAAGGGATGGCAAATGGTATTCCTAAAGTCCAAAAAAGTATTTTCCCTGAGACAGACCTTGAACATCCAACATTGTCCATTTAGCTACTGCTGTAGAAAAAGCTAACTAATACCCTTGTAAAACAATGGTGCAGAGACTACATACCTCTATTACAGAAAACAAGAAAAATGTTGAGACCACAGAAATTATATTCTGAAGAAATGCCAGATGTGATAATTCAATGCTAATGAATATCTGTAAATGTTTTAAATGCTTACATGTTTTAATGCCTGCTTAACTGACGTTCTCTATTTAACTTACACACATATACTCCATAGTTGGCCAGACATTCAAAGAGCAAGCAACTCTTTCCCTCCAATCCTTTTTTCACTGTCATTTTTAATAAGCTGTATACTGGATGGACTTGTTCTAAAAGATATGGCCCAATAATTAACAACATACATTTTTTGGAATTTCAGTTTGTTGGTTAATTCATCAAGTGTTGTTTTAGTATCTTGGAAAATTCTTAACATATGTACGTTTGACATTTATTATAAGGTCTTTGAAATATGATACATTGTACTCAAAGGCTCAAAATTAAATATGGATGCAAATATTTATATACACAAGTGTTGTCATTTACAGCTCATAAGGTCAAAACACAACATTTAAGCACAGCAGCTTTAACTATCATTTACAATACGATAATGACTTTTCAAAATATTTTGTTCCATTATAAACTTTTACAACATATCGACAATAACTTTCCCAGCTGTATGACTAACAAAGCTGCAAGAGAAACTAGGTACTGCAACAAGAGTGCTTTGGCTTGTGTACGGTTCACCAGCTACCTGTGGCTTAATTTTGGCCGACTAATTTTTTTTTCCAATTTTTTTATAGGCTCATCTAGGGAAACCAGATGCAATGTTCCTTCCTGGAGTAACTAGGATAACCAATATCTATGACCAAGTGATAGATATTTTCAAGATATACTGACCACAGTTTATCAGAGGGCCAGTATAAACTTGAGGTCTGAACATGGAACTGGCTCCCAGAACTGTCTAGGTTCTAATCCCCTCTGCGACAGAGAAAAATTATAAAATTGAAATCCTCAGGGTTTGGATAGGTTCAATAGTTTGTTCACTACTTGGTAGGTGAAAATGTACTTATCACTGATGTATCAGGCAAGCCTATTAAGCTTCAGGCTGTTTAAATAAACCATTTCTACTATTATGGTTTCAATGTCAGGTAATCAATATTTGGCAGGTTTTTAAAAGGAACACATGCTATATATTTTTGCACAGGATCACGGTCATCCCCTGACATGCAACTACACAATTCATTCAGCATCTCTCTGAGTTTTGCTTGCAGCAAGTTTTTTTTCCCCTAAACCTAATCAAGTGATTTTTGGACACTTAGGGTCAGATCCATTCTATTTTTTCACTGTTTAACCATAGTCTTAGTTCATCTGGTTTAGAACCCCTAACTTTTGTAATGCATCTTCCTCTTAATTGTAATACTATATGACAAAAAGCAGCAAAGATGACATGGACCAAATTACCTTTCATGTTAATTAATGTTTTAGGGACTTGAGAATTGTGGACAGGATCATACTTAGAAACTTAATAGGTAGAATAGAATCTAGTGTAGAAAGTGCATGGTTCAAAATAAGATTTCCAAATTGCCTTAAAAAATTGTCCTTCCTTAATAAGTATCCACCAATATCTTGCAAGAAAAAGCTTGGAGACTTTTCCTTTTTAAAGGAAAAGAAATACAGTTTCACAAAAGGCATCAAAATAATACCAGCATGATTAGAATGACAGGATGATTTATTGTAGCTATGACTTTCTCAGCACAGTTACATCAAAAGAAAAACACTGAATTTTTCTTTGCAAACTATAATCCAGGACAGGAGGAGAATTGCTATAATATTTGAAATATTTTATAAGATTATGATGCAAGTGTCATTTATACCAATTAAAATTGCTACTGACATTTCTAACCTTAATATATATGTATTTACATGTTTAGATGGAGACTTGGAATGTTTTCATTTTCCGCCAGAGTTGGATTGAGGGGGCCTCCCATCTTGAAAGTTTGATTGATTGCTCTTTCTCATCTTGAAATATATCTTCTTCATGAGGAGACTCTGGGTTAATGTTTCAAGTCAACAGGAGATCCCAATGGATATTCCAAATGTTTATGCATACTCATCTTTTAACAAGGCCTCCGAGGTCTGGGAAAGGATTTTGCAATCTGCATTACTAAGTGGTAGGGGCCAGGCCATTCTGCAAAACTAATTTACACTAAGGCTGCTTTACTTCACTCTTGCTATTGCAAAGGAGCCTTGAAGTAAGTGTAAGTAAGCATCAAGCTCTATGAATATTGTCAAAACCTATGCTATTCAGTGTTTTTCTTAATTACATAGATCTGGGAAGCCGTTAGGCCCATAAGAATTGTAACTAGTGTTGAGTCCTTTTACTCCTCTACAGCCATGAAATTCTCAAGTTTTAAAGTCTCACAACTTTTGATAATTAGGGTTAGCAACACTATTTAAAAACAGAACTGTGAGTCAGCATACCCAGGTATCAGTCTCCTTTTTTCATTGATTTACTTTACAAACTTTTGCAACTTGTTTGTTGTCTTTCTAAACCCCTTTGACTGCAATGTAGACATGCCTGAGAGTCAGCACACATGGGTCCCAGGCCTGCTACTTTCATCAATTGGCTCTGCAACCTTTGGCAAGTTGTTTGCAACACAAAATCATATTTTCTACTTTACCAAAACCGTATATGTATTGCGGACACTCCCTTGACTGTAATGTAACATAGATTTGCTGCAGCCAGGTTTAAATTAGCTACTTCAGGTACTAGTAGCAGCCTAGGCACAGAAACAGAGAACACAGAACAGACTGCAGAACTCACAGCCAGTCTATGCTAAGCTAGGTTTCATGCTAGCTCAGGCATCTTTACCAGACCACCCACAGGTAGACCAATTGCCTGTGAGTTCTTCAGTCTAAGGGTATCACCTCTGGATAAAAGAATAAATAAATAAAATATTGTAGTGCTAAACATCAGGGCAAGTGTAGACATTACAGTTTTACTGGTATAAATGATCAGAAATGGGTCTATACCTGAAACAGAGCAGATGTTTGGCACACAGGCTTATTTAAAAATGGCAGAATCCAGCCTAAGATTTGCCTCCCTCACCAAAAGGTGAATGTTTGTTTTGTTTGCTACAGATCTAAACTATGCTGCTTACAGAAAACTGCATAACTCGGATCAATTCTGCCTCAGACTTTTTGAATGTTTGTACCTAGCCTATATGTCAAAAGTAGTCAGTATCATTAGCTGTATTTTACAGATGTGGAAACTGTAGAACAGGGAGAAGTGCCCAGGATCACCCAGCAGCCTAGCAGCAGCATAATCAAGGTCTAATACCAGTTCCAATTTTCCTTTTTGTACTCTGCTACCCCATGCTGCAGGCTACAGTTGTCATGCCATAATGCATGAAATAACTAAGAAATGCAATCCCATCTTTAAAAGAATCCTTTTCCTAATTCAAAGAACCAGATGTGATACAATATGACCTTATATAAAAATAAAAGCAACAAAGTTCTTGTTAACCTATTGCCTTTTTCTGTCATGAGATGAACTAGATTCAGATTTTGTATATTCCTAATACTTTCGTTTCAAAAGCAGGAAAACAGGACCCTAATTGTAATCACTTTCAGGAAAATGGGAATTTGAAATACAGATGGTTTCTCTAGCACTCATTATGTATATACAAGTGTTTTTTCATATGACATAGCAGAAATCTGCAACTAAATTAACTAGAAAAGTAAAATGTTACATTCCCATAACAGTCTGTATTCCCTTTTTGTAGCCACTAATTTAATCAGTTAATAGAATATGGTCTCTTTCCATTTCAGATAATCCTATTCATTGAAAAAGTGTACTCCTTTCTCCTCCTCCCCCTCCCCCCAAAAAACCCTGATTTAATTTATTCTAACACTAATTCCCTGTGAGACCAAAAGCCTACCTCAGCAATGGAGACTGATGTCATTTCAGTAATGTGCAGAGCAGGTTTAGTAATTTTGCATGAAATTCTTCATTTCCTGATTGATGCTCATTAGGATCATCTGGAAAGTCAACCATATGAGTAATCTAGTCAATTCATTCCATAGACAGTGAATCCATTTAAGAAAATTAAGTTAACTTTTCTTTTAACTACAGTAATGTTTACTTGCACAGGTATTTAACCTGCCTAGTCCAGAAAATACCAAATACCTCCTGATGAATAGCAAGAGTTACTTGGGCACAATTCTGTTTCCACTGAAGTTTGTAACAAAAATGACAGCAGAGAACAGACTTTGTACTACCCAAGTAAAATGTGCAGAACAGAAGAGTTTGCACTGGTTAAAGTTAGTTCATTTTTTCTGGCTTCTCTCCTCCCCTTTTCTTCCACCTCCACCCCCCTTTTAAAAAAAAATGTCATCATGCTTACAGACCCTGCTGGCTATCTAGAAGGATTTTTAAAAAAGTACCAAGGGATTTAATTCATGTAGGTGAGTTGATTAAACCCTATTTATAAGCCCAAGGGTGCAGATACGTGACTCAGTATCTTTTTCAGTCCATGCAGAGGTTCAAGTGTTGTTTCGAGGTAAAAGAAAGTTTGAAATACTTTTGCCCAACAGTGGTTTTACCTAGATAACTTACATGTCTAATCTCTAGTTCAATGTCAACACTTAAGTATCAAAAAGATTTAAAAGTAACACAGTCCAGAATGTGCTGCTCAAACTCTTCCAGCAGATCAGGCATTACACACACACCTATTACCTTGGTTGCATATATAATTCTTGAATGTGGAATAGCATAATGTTGAGGTACCTTGCATGGTTCCAGAGAAAAGGTTCAAGCCTTGCTAAATACTGCCGCCAGTCAATCAAACTGTAAAAGCCGGCTTGGTTATTTGGGCTGGAAATCAACTAGATGCGACTGCTAGCCACTTGGCTTCTTGTGTGTTGTCTGTCAAGAAAAGCTGAAATGCCTTAATTACACTAACCCAATGGGGTCTCTAGTTTCAGACAGAAGCCAAGAGTTACCTTTGTACATGCATCCTCTGCCATCTTTCTATATTCATTAAGAACCCATTACACACCCTGCAACAAAAGGAATATCATGAAGTCTTGGAATAATGAGATATAAATTGTTCGCAAGAGAGAGACCTGCCTTTGCTTGTGTCACTTATAATTAACCATGGACGGGAGGGGGGTTGTTAATTTGTTTTTGTTTTTTTTTTAATTACAAGCATTATGTAGAAAAAAAGTCACTTGTAACAGAAATCAAAGAACAAAGGAAAGCTAAAAGATGAGGTCAGCTGCTCAAGTTCATCCAACAAACTTGTTATTGAATTTAAGCTAATTCTTATATTATCTGAAGCACAGAAGAATTTGTAAACCCACATGTATTAAATAAACTTCTGGCAAGCCATTAGGCTTGAAGACTTACCATGGTGCCTGATTTTTTAGCATGGGTTTCCCCTCCCCCCCAGTTTAGTTTTGTTTTAATAAAGGGAGTTAGTCCTATAAGTTGCTGAGCCTCCTTTAGAAGAAGTACCTAAATTGACATGAGCAGCACTTGTTTTATGTTAGCTAAACAAGTAAATTCAGAATTTAAAACAAACAGACCCCTTTCAGTATTATTCTTGTCACATAAGTAACTTTTTACCTTTTTTGGGGTGCCATTCTTTTAGCTTCTTGAAAATGATAAAACAGTATCATTTGATACTGAACTGGTTTGCTTTATTTTAATAACATTATTTTAATTTCTGGTTATTTCTACTAGAACATGTGTGTTGTTATTACCACGTGGAGGAAGTTTATGCTTCAGGGAAGTGTTTCACTGAACTACTCTTAAAATCCTAGATTTTGCTTTTCTTCAGTCTAAAGTTTAAATTTTCATCTGAGAAGTATTCTGGCAGCCTCCTATATTTACTTAAAAATATTAGAAAAACCCACATTGCACTCTGGTCATAATCCTCTGACTTTTACCCACCCAAACAGTGACCTACTTTCAACAATTATTTCATATGAACTCAAAACAGAATGAGTCACCCCAGCATTTTTCAGGGCTCCACAACATTTCCCTCAAAAAACCCCTATAACAGAACTGTGGAATCTGAAACAAGTTCACTCCCAACAATATGCCTACTTCCCATGTAAACCTGTTGTGCTTTCCATTTGTCACTGTAGCATGCAAGTACCTAAAAAGACAAATACTGCCCAAATCATTAAAAGTAGAAATGTAAAAGCCTTCCACATGTCTCAAGTGTTTTTCTACAGGCTGGAAAGGAAGAGTAATTTCTTTTTTTATTTATAGTTTTGGTCATTCATGTTCATTACCCAGATTATTAACTGCCCTTTACAGTTGTTCTTTCTATTCATGGGAATAGAAAAATATTACCAAATCAGAATGGTGGCATTTGGCATTTTATACCAACTTTGCTTAGATGCAAATGTATAAGGCCATAGAGAACTATGCCTTCAGTGTGTACAAGAGTGTATTACTGAGATACAGCTAAATTTATAATAAATAGATAAATAGATAGATAAATATTCTGAATTCATAACTATTCAAGAAGGAACATACAACAACTCTCTCTCCGTCCCTCTCCCCAGCCCCTAAAAGTTAGGGCTTTGTTACTCATTAACATTAGGTGGCTCCTGAAGCTCTTAACCACTTGACTGTCCACACAATATGTGAAACTAGTTGTAAGCAACCTTTAGGAGGTTACACCACTTCAGAGAAGGTTTATTTCTGTTCTGTATTACTCAACTCATGTTACACTAATGTGGGGTTGCTTTAGGCTACATCTTAGTGTAAACACTCCCTGCATGCTGACCCAGATTGGGCCCACTCTCCACCTGCCCACCCAATTGGGCCTCCATCCTTCGCAACCCCCACTTCCTCACCAGCCCAGATCAGGCTCACTGCCTCTCACCACCAGCCCCTGCCAGCCTGAATCAGGTCACTGCCTCCCCCAATCCATCAGACTCCCAGCTCTCCACTCCACCTCCCCACCCACCCTGGTCCCACACCATCCTACCCTTTTCAACTCCCTTTTGGCTGCTGGCTCCCAGGGGAGCAGGCAGGGAAGGGGAACCTGCCTGCTTGGCCACTGCTGATGCTTCTACCACTCCCTGGTCTGAGTGGCCACAATTAAGCTGGAGGACACAAGGGGTGCAGGTGAGCTATGGGGCTGAGTGGCGGGGGTGGGGGGTTATCCAGGGCCAGGGAGGGCAAGGGGAGCCCTGAGGGCCAGAGGGCAAGGGGGAAGCCTGGAATGGGAAGGGATGGAAAGAGAGTGGAGATTTTCATACTATTCAGTCCCCAAGGCCCCTGCTGGTCTGAATGTGCGACTGCTCCAAACTGCAACTAACACTAACACCAATCAACATTTGAGCAGCTCACAGGGCATGTAACAAGGTCCTTAAGTTTTCAAGAAAGTACTTCTTAATGGTACACCTCTATCTCTGGTACCTTTATAGCACCAAACAGTGTGTTATTTTGATACAGTTATAGATTCATAGATTCACAGACACTAGGGCTGGAAGGGACCTTGGAAGATCATCGAGTCCAGCCCCCTGCCCCAGGGGCAGGAAGTCAACTAGGGTTCAAAGGATCCCAGCAAGATAAATATCCAAGCGTTTCTTGAATAAGTCCAGAGTAGGTGCTTGCACCACTTCTGGAGGGAGTCTGTTCCAGGTCTTGGGGGCTCGGACAGCAAAGACATTTTTTTTTTCTTATGTCCAGCCTAAAACAGTCTTGTAGGAGTTTATGACCACTTGTCCTTGTTTTTTCTTGGGGCACTCTGGTGAATAGGCATTCTCCCAGATCCTGATGAGCACCCCTTGTGTACTTATAGGTGGCTACCAGGTCCCCCCTGAGCCTGCACTTCTCCAGGCTGAAGTCCCATGGCTCTGATATATTTCTTCCAGCTATGCTAAGACAGCAAACAAATGTCACTCCTGTCACACCAGAAAAAATTAGGGGAGCACAGAACATGTACAGACAGTGGTGATGAATAGGGGGTGCACAGGGGTGCATGTGCACCCCCTGAGAGTGCCGTTGCACCCCCTCACAGCCAGCGCTCATGGCTTAGGCAATGGGCAGGCAGGAGCACTGGTGGCCTCCCTGAAAGTGCCAGCCGGGGGGTGGGCGCTCCAGGAGAAGCGTTGCTGGCACTACTGGGTCAGTGAGCACAACTGGCAGGGAATCAGCCACAGGGGGACCCCCCCCCCAGTGGGCACAACTTGCCACGGGGGGGACACCCCCGGTCTCTCACTGCCTGGGGGGGGGGGCGGCAAGTGCACCCTGACTCAGGAGGCACCAGTCATGCATGTGAACAAACAGGCATCCTTTTCACTTGTCACATCCCAAATGCCCAAATATGGTCACCTCACAATTCACTGTAACTGTCTGTTGTGCCTTATTGCAGAGGACACCTGCTCACTTATCATACAATCCCTGCAGCCCAGGGCTGCCCAAGCTTTTCCAACTGCACCAGAAGGGATTCCAGGGTGTATGTTTCATGATGCAGAACAAGGTAACCCCATGGGGATCCCCTGGTTAGGGCCAGGAACCCAGGGCCACTGTCCTGCATGACTAGATCCCTGAAGACCTAGGAGCAACAGGAGCCTGATCCTGAGAGACAACATCTGTACTTGCCAAGCAACCGGATAATCTGTGCTGAGATGCATCCCAGCACAATCGATTCCACAACAAAAACAACATCTGTTTGCAGCTTAGATATTACATGATTACACTTGGTCCCTTACACTACCTTAAAATTTACCAAGGATTCTTTTTAGAGAGTATTTCATCAGTTAAGTAAGCTAAGAAAGCTGACTGTACTTTAAAGATACCTTACTAAGAGTGCAGCTAAGGATCTGAGGGAGTTGGGTGATGTGATTGCAAAGCCACTAGCCATCAGGACACGTCCTTGATGACTGGAAAAGGGCAAACATAGTAGCCATATTTAAGAAAGGGAAAAAAGAGGATCCAGGAAACAATCCCTGGAAAAATCACAGAGCAACCCTCAAGAAAACCATTTCTAAGGAACAGTCAGCTT